TATGCTGCTACAGATGAGAGAGAGGACAGAGCAGAGGCAGTTGAAGAGGAAGTTGACATCCAAGACAGAGGTTGCCAAGAAAGAATTCACATTAATTTGGAAAACGCCACACAATTTTCATATCGTTCAGGAAACTCAGCARCACTAAAGAGCGTGCCTACACACAAAGGTACTGGTCATGGTCAGCCATTAGTTCTTTTTGTTTGCTTGCTGAGAAGCCAGTTTTGACTTTTTTATTGCCAAWATAAGTGGAGAAGTATCTTTAGAAAAGGCCAAGATTCCTTCACTGTATTAAGCTAAAGCAAGCACTTTTTTTTAACAAGTGCTGCAATTTGTGTGTGTGTAGAGAGGAGTGTTGTTGAGGTATTATAGACTCCAGGGAGAAGAGGAACTAAATCACAAATAAAAGATGTCTCCTCCTGCATTTCCATAAGAAATAATAAATCTACATCMCCTGCCTCCTCAAATTTATAGCATTCCAAACAAGTGTTGCATCTTAAATCAGCTGAACGTACAATAAAATGAGGGATCCAGGAAAGCTCATAAAGGAATGGACAATAAACAGAGTGGAATTAGAGAGTAACAAGGATAAAGCAAAAGCGGAGGAAATAAGTAATGTCAGGAAAGTTAACAGCAGTTTGTTATTGTAGTGCTGCATTCGTTTASTCCACAGGTGGAAAAAATCTAAGCACAGTCATTGTTAAAAACAACAGCAAAATACTTCAGTAAATAAGGACATGTCAGCAAACAAGGATTTTTCTTTTACTCCATGGTAATTCAAAAATTTGTTTTGATGCTATATGCAATCAGATTATCAGCAGCATTAAGGCAAAATAGAAATTATAACTGATTTGAAATTACAACTAAAAAGCATATAGGTTTTAAAACAACGTATTCATTGATCATAATTTACATTTCAACTGWAAGACTAGAAGAGGTATATTTATTTTGCAAGAGCAGACAAAAAACTGTCATGTATTTCTTAGGATAAATTAAAAAACTCACACGATGTTACTACAAAAAATAAAAGTCATGTCAGAAATGCAATATTTGAAAACTTATGCTAAATACATYTCATTAAAGCAGTTTTTCCAAAGCTTTTTGAACTGGTAAAAAACTTCAGTAAAATCTTTCAGCATCTGGAGCCTCATTTTCAGCTCTGGAAAAAAGAGCAGAAGTAAAAAGTCCCTGTCCATTTCCAACAACAGAGATGTCCAAGACACAAATTTACGAACTTTCACAGTACGATGGGCATTTCTGCACTAAGASAGAAAGAAAATGAACTGGGATCCTGCAGATGCTTTGGATGAAGTCTCTGGAAGAGATCTAGTGAGGGACCATCTGAGCCACATCTGGATCTAACCGTTCCAGGAATTTTTACTTTTAAGAATTTGAAAAATCGTCAGTTTCAGAAAGGAAAAGGACATTGCATGATGGTGTATACAAAAATTTCACTATAGACTTTTCTTAAGTCTTGAGCCAGAGCAAGTTTCTTAAAGCACTAGACAAATCCTATCATGAGGCCTCTGCCTCAAAACTTTACTGMAGGGAGTATTTGTCTTAAGATATGACAAGYAACAAAAAAAGCACAGAAAARAAGGACTATTTTTCTCYAACAAAATGTTCCTGAGTCTGCAATGACTTTTGAAATTTATTTCTTCCAAATTATAAAATATTAAATTTAAAAAACATATAAAAAGCCAAATGTCACACACTCATGGTCTTCCTAGGAATTCAGAATCAGCTGGTAGCCTTCACTTCTCATACCTCCTTACTAAAAAAGCACTAGGGAATTGCTGACAGGGTTCAGCATTGTGCAGAATATTAAATATCTTTTTTGCAATACCCTGGTGACTCTTGAGTCTGTCTCTTACAGCACCATATGTACAGCTGTGTTGGAAAGAGGAAGCTATTAAATATATTAAAAAGTAGAAATATTACCAATAGACACTTCATCAAATAACTGGATCTCATTCATCCCCAAACAAAGCAAGAAATGTTAAGGTTACATCAACATAAGAAAATAACTCTGAATTTAATAACAGCACAAGCCTGTTGAACATATTTGAAAGTAAAAACATTGCTTAATAAAACAGATTAGTGTTTCTGAAACAATGAACATAGCTTTCAACCATCAGAATGCTTTGGTAACAAAGACATTGGACTTGGTTTTGAAAGGTGCTGGGTGTCTCAGTTCCCACACCAAAGTCACAGTTAGAAGGTCTTTGGATCCAAATATAGTACCCTTAGTTTACTGCCAACACAGGACTAGGAATATTTTGTATCAAAAAGGATTTAATAAAGGGGAGGGAAAGGGTATTTTGTTTGAGACTGAATTCATAAATCTATTCTTGAAAGTCTGCCCTCCTCCCAAACACACATACAAATATTGCATCTCCAACGTGAAAAATGGAGACAGCAAAGACATACCYGCATGGCATGAGCGCAAACAAGCACACTGACATCTCAAAAACATCTAAGCTTAAGAACTCAAYGTTACTTTTTTCCAAAAGCGAGTTTTAGAAAGGGGGTTTTGAGGTTTCTAAGCAGCTAGACACCAACAAGAAAAGTGGATTTTCAGTGGCTCYTTCCCCATAAGAATTTAAAGCGGCGTTAAGCGAGAACGCGCTGCCAAAAATCCCACTTGCTGCCCCGCCGCACCTTTACACTTACATAAGAMTTTTACAAGTACGGCTGTTCGGCTCTAGGAGCCTAACACCCATCAMCTTTTAATAAGATTTGCAATCTTAAAAGCTCAAGTAACTTCTGAAGAAAGGACTTAGGCTGTTTGTAAAAATTTCCCCATAGGCCCCCATCTTGTGCAGCAGAGCTCGCGGGCAGCGCGCAGCGTTCCCGGGGAGCCGCGGTGATTGCAGCGGTGGTCTGGGAGGAACTGCTTCACGTCTACATTGCAGGAGTTCCTCTCTCACACTTCACAGAAAGAAATGAGAAAATAAAGAATACCTATGGAGCCCTGCTAAGCATAACTTCCTACAAAAACACTGCAGATCTGAATGTTTATTTAACTATCACCAAGGACTGTGTCACTTACCCCACTTAAAAATTTCTGGAATAATTTTGCAAGACTCCAGTACCACTTTCACTAAAACTGCTGCAAGACACTATGTTTCTTTTCCTAGGGAAAAGAGGTTTTATTACTCACAGTAATACATGAGTAATTTACATATTTTCCTCCAGTTTCTGAATATATATTTCTATGTACATATTTCTATGTAGATTTACAGCCTTTATATTTATTAGCATTCCTCCCTCATTCATTCACCTTGTTTTTCACCCTGTTGCTAGGTGCTGCAACTAAGGCAGTTGCCTACTGAACCTGCAAGATAATTACAACTAATGATTCAAGAATTTTTAAGATGCATGTCTAAAGAGCAGTGAAACTTCTTGAATCAAGTGTTAACAGAAATCAAGACCCTAAGGCTACAGGAATTACCATGTATTGCATCAAGATAAACTGGTTTGTCCCTAARAAGATAAGCAATTAAAATGTGTAATACTCCAGACAGTGAACCCACAAGAGATTCTGCATAGAATGCTTTCCCATTATACAGTTTGTAAACATAATCTTTGCAAAATATTTAGTTTAGAAAAACAAACACCAGTGCAAAGAGAGCYTTGACTTGTCTTTGGTCCTCTTCAACCTCAGCCACTGCACTTAAGCAGGAGCARGTTTTGAAGTGGTTTCTGCAGAAACCGTTGTCTGACCAAGAAGCCCTGCCTGGCATTGCCATATGGATTTCCACCTCCAACTGCCAACACTGCTGGAGGTTCAGCCCTGGCACAGCCAGAGACACACAAATGATGCCAGACTTTTAGTGGCTTGGATGCAAAGTCCAACACCGCACCACAGACTCACCATCACTATGGATATCACACTTTAATTTTAACAGCTGAGATTTGGGCATAGGAGCCTTTGTACTATACTGAAGAGACACTAGAGGAGGAAAGGCAYCTGGAGCAGGAACTTTTTAACCACTGCAGAAAGATCTGTCAGCATTCAYACATCACTGCCTACATAGAGCTCACTTGGAGGTCTCCAGGACAAGCATACCTAATCCATACCCAAACCATGGAGTCATAGGCATGCCTGCAGTACTCTCRTACCTACAGTTTGAGTTATACACACACTTGGATGATAAATTATGCTGGTACCAAACAACATTAAGAACCATGTCTTGTCTAGGAATTAAAACRACTTCACTAATTTAGCTGAAAAACCCACACAATTAGAAAAATACAGTTCAACTTAATATATTAATTGTTATGATGCTTTTTTTTTTTGCATTCTCGTGCCTGAACTCGGCGGCAAGTAGCAACTTTATTCAACAAAAGCTTATGGAGGTACTGATAAAAGCTACCACAAGAGATGAAATTTCTCTTCAGTCTTCTCAGGCGAGGCCTGCTGCATAGTGCAGCCTGAAGGATCATGGCCTAAGATTAATCACAACCAGTAAAGCACTGTGCTGTTGTGGCAAGCCTTCATTAAGTCACAGTCCATTGACCACTAAAACATAAATATAAAATATTTAAAGACACGTGGTTGCAGCAACTGAAGGAAAACAATTTTAAAGAGAACCACACCAGGTTTCAGGGCATCTGAGTTTGAACCATCTCACGCATGGTTCAAGCTGCGCTAGGAGTTGAATGGGGGTATGGCCCTGTGCAGAACAAAGAAAAATGCTTAGAAAAACAGGCTGTGATGAGTTCACATTACACACAAGAGTTTGTCAAAAAAGTTAATGTTACTGAAGTCCTTCCCTGTGCAAGGTGAGCACTTTGATTACAGTAAACTTCTTTGGAAGACGTCAGGCCACAATGACATAACTGTATTGGTTAAGAGACTTGAACACAGAATCAATGAGAAAAACATACAATTTCATTTCAAAATATGTACGTTCATAGTAAGGCTACTATTTCCCGTCCTCCCCAAGTGCAACTGTCCAGGGATTACAAATTACAATGAAAAAACCATCACTTACTCTGTTTTCCGCCTTTGCTTGTCTTCAAATATATCATTCAGACTTATGGCCACCTGTCCCAAAAACCTGTCCAGCCCMACCAGCGACCTGTGCATGACAATCAGGTACAGGATGTATTTTTCTGGATTCTCCTGCATGAGTAATCCAGGGAGCTCAAAGGAGGCCTCTTCTTTCCAGATGGGATCCAGGGTCTTCTCAGCCACCGAGGTGGAGTACTTCTCCTTGCCCAGCTGGATGATGGTGTAGGCATCGTTGCTGCCATTTTTACCTTTTGGCTTCAGACCTTTGGCTTGAAGGACCGTAACTTGCACGTGAGTTGGGAACCACTTCTGGGCTTGCTCTGCCAACATCATCTTTGAAGATCGCAGCAGCAGCAGCAGCAATAACAAACGCAAAGTCTGTCAGTCCTCGAGTGACTGCGTAAGGGCACTTACGGCGGAGACACCTGTCAGGGGCTCGGCCGGTCCTTTCTCTAGCACTCCCGGCCGCGGGTGGCCCTCACCGGCCCGCGGGTCCCCCCTTCCCCCGGCAGCCCCACCTGCGGCTCCATGGCCGGGGGGGGCTGCAGGTCCCGCCGCAGCCCCGGCCCCGCCGCCCCTCCGCGCCCGGCCTGGCCCTGCCCGCCGCTGCCGCTGCCGCCGGCCGGGCCCCGCGCCGCCCCCAGGGCATCCCCCGGGCAGGGCCGCTCCGCCGCGGGGCCCCGCAGGCCGGCGGCGGCCTCCCCCTGCTCGTCCCGGCTCGCTGCCGGAGGGGGCTCGCTGCCGGGCTGACCCTCCCTGCCTCCGTCAGCCCGCCCGTCCGTACCGCGGCCGCCTCAGCCTCTCGCCGCGCTGCCCCCCCGCCGCCGCCCGGCCTGACGGGCCGGCTCCGCCGCTTCCGCCTTCCCCATGCTGCGGGCGGCGGCGGCGGTCAGAGGGCAGAGGGCAGGGTTCGCCCCCTCCCTCTCCTCGCTCCGCCGCCGTTCCCCGGCTGCCCAGCACACCGAGCACCCCCGGTGCCCGCGGGCAGGGCCGGAGAGGCCGCGGTTCCCCCGGGCGTGRCGGAGCGCCGGGCTCCCGGGGCCGCCTCCCGGCTGAGATCCCCGTCCCGTTAATTAATTCATGGCTATTTTTATTTCTAGAGCGGGCAGAGAGCTCTGCAGGAGYTGGGGRGAGGAGGGAACTTAGATAAAGACGTCTATTGTTTTTATCGTTCAATATTAGGGGCTCGGGGGCGACCAAAGAGCCAGCCGGGAGCGATCCCGGAGCCCATCCTGCTGCCAACCGCTTCGGGAATTTCCTTGTTTTCCGTCCCATCCACCCGCCCTGGCAAATCTGTTGGATTAAATGAGAACGTGAAAATTACAAAACAAAAATATTAAGAAAAATAATATAAAGTAGAGAAACTCTGGTAAAAATGGAGTAATGTTAATACAGAGCTGRCACTTCTTGCCTCTTCCACATTGTATCTGATTATTGTTGATATTGGGAAATAGATGGTCCAGTTGGATGTGGTAACTTCAGTGGATGTCTCRGGATCATATTCAGGGAAAAACATGTAAATGGATTATCCAGGGYAGTAATTTCTGTAAGAGTTACAGGTGCTGTGGTTGTGTGCCCTGGTTTGTGATGCTGAGATGCTAATGGCCAATTAAGGCTGCTGATTAACTCTGGGATATCACCATCCCTCTCACCTGAAAACCCTTCCCCTACACTGCAGCTGTCATTCTTCCACATCCTCAGGTATCTTTGCCAAATGTTTCACAATGAAGCTCCCAGGATGAGTTGCTCCTCTTGGGGAAGGAGTAGCAGTATTTTGGGCTGGAAGAACCAGAAGGGGTTATGGTGCCAGTATTCTGCAGGAGACTTTAGGCCATGGGGGAAAAYCACAGGGTTCTTGTTGGAAAGCAGAGACACTTATGTACATCGGAATATTTCTGAAATGAATTTTATCACATACAAATTCTGTTTTAGAAGAATAATCTTCATTGCACTAAATAGAAACCAAAGCATGCTGAACTCATCAAATCAAAACAAGAARTGAATTTTAGGTAGAAAGAATGTATTTCTTAATAGAAATGTAAATCAAACATCATGTCTTGCATGCTGTTTCTTAGGAAAAGTTTTCTGAGTTTTTACAACAGGTTTTGTGCTTTTTCTTTGCCTTTTATTGGTGCTCTCTAATTTCTTATTACCATTTCTTCTTAAACAGAAGCTCACTGGAACACAAATGCACACAGCTGAACAGGGGGAGGTAGAAGAACTTTTGTACTTCTACAGACAATGTATCAGTGCAATACCCAATCTGCCTTCCCTGCTTTCAAAAATAAACAGATTATTAGTCCTCTGCTCCTTATGTGCAATCTGGCATGTGAGAAGAGGAGTGTGGAACCTTTCSCCTTTCTCGTGTTTCTCCTCTCTGCTCAGCTGGTGGAGCAGGCACTGGGGAGATGCCCTCTCAAATCCTCCACCCTGTGCTTGAAGAGAATTCTGCTCAAAGGTGCACCAGATACATTTTATTCCTTCTTACACCCCTCTAGGGTCAAGCTGAAAGCTGGCCTTTTGATTCTGTCCTCTTTGGAATAGCATAATTGTCATCTTCTGGAATGTAGCGTGGGATATAAATGACAAAATATCTCAGAGAAATAATGATATCTCCAGCAACACAGTGTCCCCTGGCACTATGTYAGAGCATTAATCCAGAAATGACTCAGATTTTCATTCACTAAGCCACCACCACTGCTCAGTGCCTGCATGCACTGTAGGTTTTGCTCATCACTGTCCAAGATTTAGTGATTATTATATTAGAAAATCCATTTTGTTTCCTGTGCACCATTTTGGTTACAAGACTGTACCGTTCCTTCAGTACACCATAGATATCCACTGTTGTCCTGCAATAAGAATCTTTTTAAATCACTCGTACTGCTGTATTGTGTTTTCTTTTTGAGTTCACTCACTCACTCTGAGGATGTTCTATCATGAATTTTCTAGTCCTTGGTTTCTTTTAGAGGATTTTGGACTCAAATCATTACACTTCGGGTTTGTGTTCAAATGTAACTCCCTTGAATTGTGGTAAAAAATATTTCTCCCTGTGGATGGTTGGTAGTTCCCGTAGTGTTCTCTGCCTTGTCCCTTTTCCCTGTTCTGCCACTACCTGTGTAACAGTGGAGAGAGCTGAGAAAAGCAAGCTCAGAATTCTTACTGATGAAGAAAAAGCCATCAAAGCTGGATTATTTGGCCTCAGAAAACRGTTTCTTTATTTCTGATTTGCAATWGCTGTCYTGTGTTCCTGGTGGCTACTCCAACACCCCTTYTCCTTGTAGATAGGAGGACAGTGAGTTCAAAAAACTGTTGTTTATCCCAGAATAACAGTCGAAATCTATGGTATATTTAATATAGAACCTTACAACTCATGTGTGCCATCTATTTCCATTACACATTCTTTCAATAATTTCTGACTTAGGAGATCAAMACTGGTTTGTTTTTTTGTTTTGTTTTGTTTTGTTTTATAGAGGGAATTCCAAGAATTATGGTAGATTTTTTTTCAGTTTCAGKAATTTGTAATTCCCTCTCAATTCTCCCTCCTGAGCCTACAGTACATCTGACTAAACATGAAACTTGATATTCTGGCTGCCCTTTGAAAAGAAAATGCAAGAAAATCTTTTTGCTGAGACAGTTCCACGTTCTGCTTCTCATTTCCAGTTGTCTACTTGCTAAAGAGGAACAGAGCAGTTGTGTGTAYGCTGGTAAAACTGGTAGCATAATTGGATGATTTAATTTCTCCCTGACTTCTGTTTATGAGGTAGGAAACATTTAGTCATTTTTTTAAATGAAAATGCTATTTCCTCTTTGAAATAATTTGCTGAATAATTCTTAGTTGGCAGATTGCGGGCGATGTGTTTGCTTTGAACATTACATTGCTGCAAGGAGCAGGCTGKTTTTGTCTAGACATGTGACAAAGCTTCTGCTTTCTGCCTTGCTGACTAACTTTCAGTAGCTGTTGCAACCGTCCAAACTGTTTTCTGGAAAGGCACTGCAATTTTTGAGACAGAACATTGTTGCCTGTTAGCTTTATCTGAGCTGCCATTATTTTTCCAATTAGTGACTTCTTCAGGAATTCGTTAAAATGAATTGATTGCAGAAATCAAATGGCTGGGCTCAAACCCACCACTGTGAATTAGAAGGTTTTTCTCAAGCTATCGTTTTTTTCTGCTCTATTGGCTTGAGAAGGATTCATTACTCTGGAAGTATTTTGTTGTTGTTATTAAAAGCTAGAGGAATCCATCAAATTTCTGTCCTGGCCCCAAATTTTGCAACCCAAAATRCTCAAGATTTTCTGAAGTTGAGTGAGTTAGGCCAATGTCCTGCTCCCATGCTTTCTTTTACCTTTTACATTCAGTCTTGTGGATCATCTCTTCAGAAGGAGGAGRCCTTTGGCCTCAGCAGAGGAAATGTGTCTCTGAAGAGTGGAGTGGGGGCTTAAAATAAGGCAAACACCATAGAGTTGTCCATTTTTCTGATAGAAATCCKATACTTTTCATCAGGAAACCTGGAATCACAGACATGGAAGTACTGTGTGCAATATCAGACTTCAAATAAATGCCAGGTACCACTAAGAGTGTTGGAAGCRTCATCTTTTTGTTCATTTTTAGCTGAACATATTTCACAGCCTTTCAACACTCTCATCCATTGTGAAGTTCAAAGAGGCTTAAATGCTGTAAAACAGTCATCAAATACTATAATTAAACTTGCCAGTCACCCAGGTTTGACCCAAACTGCCTGTGTCTCAAGATGTTAGTCAGCTGTCTGGGTTAGATTTCAATTCAGCCTTTTAAAAACATTAAAACATCTCCTTCTCAGCAGCTTTTGCACAAACCATTGGGCTCTTCTGTCAAATCCTCCCTGCCATGCAAACTCCTTGAGCATTTCCAACCTGACAGAGCTGTGGGATGCACCCTGCCCTACACSTGGTGGAATTCAAACTGCCTTCAGCAAGACCTCCACAGGGTACAGCATTAGTGAAAGGAAACTCTTTCAAAACAGACCGGTAAGGGCTAAATTAAGATTTGCCCTTGGCTCTCCCAAAACTCCCTAGAAACCTCCAATTTGACTGTTGGAGACGTACCCATTTAAAAATCATAGAAACACAAACTGGGGCTAAAATTAAAGAGGTTAGAAATGGGAATTGGCTATATGGCATCTATTTTTAGAGTGAAATATAAACATTATTTTCTTGTTTTAAGTATATGTCTAATGATTGAACATTTTAAAGAACTTTTATGCATTAGAAATTAATATAAGTAGTACAGGGAGAGTCAAGGATAATTTTGTCATCTTTGCAGAGAATAGTGTCATTTTGTGTTGACAGAACCTAAGAAACATTAACAATAGAAATAAACAACTTCTAAATTATCACCTTTCTGGTTTCTTAATGAACCAGGAGGAGAAAAAAAGAAAGATTTTTATCATTGTTTGAGTAGSAGGCTTCTTCAGAGGTACTTTACCTGTGTTTAAATAACTCCTGCATTTGTTCTCTAGGTCATTTATTCTTTATAGGTCTCCAAGGATCTCAAAGACCATTACCTCACAAATTCT